AAGAGTAGACCAAAATGTCATCAATAAAAACAACCACAAACTGGTCTAGGTACTTGCCAAATACCCGATTCATCAAATCCATAAATCTGGCAGGGGCATTTGTCAAGCCAAATGGCATGACTATGAACTCATAATGACCATAACGGGTGCGAAAGGCAGTCTTTGGCACATCATCCGGCTTAATCTTCACCTGGTGGTAGCCAGATCGAAGATCAATCTTAGAAAATACCTGAGCACCCTTGAGCTGGTCAAACAAGTCATCAATTCTAGGAAGGGGATACCGGTTCTTCACAGTCACCTTATTCAATTCCCTGTAATCAATGCAAAGCCTCAAGCTCCCATCCTTCTTCTTGACAAATAACACTGGAGCTCCCCAAGGTGATACACTAGGGCGTATAAACCTTTTCTCAAGGAGTTCCTTTAGCTGGACCTTTAACTCCTTCAATTCTGCAGGAGCCATACGGTATGGTGCTTTGGAAACGGGTCCGGTGCCAGGAACAAGGTCAATAGCAAATTCAACCTCTCTATCTGGAGGTAAACCTGGGAGATCCTCCGGAAATACATCCGGAAACTCACGCACCATCGGTATGTCTTCTAGTCTCGATGTCACACTACTAGCATCAGTAACAGAGACTAGGAAGCCCTGGCAACCATTTACAAGATATTTTTGAGCCTGCAAGGCAGATACTAACACGGGTAGAGCAAAAGAACCACTGCCTTGAAAACTAAATTCTGGCTCACCAGGACTATTAAAAATTACCAATTTCCGATGACAATCTATAGAGGCAAAGTGTTTAGACAGCCAATCCATCCCCAAAATGATATCAAAATCGGAGATGTCTAAAACAAACAAACTAGCACTCAACTGTCTACCATCAACATAAATATCCATAGTCCTACACACCTCCCTAGTAGTCATCACCCCTCCTAAAGGGGTGTCCACATGCAGTTCACAATCAGAGATATCAACAGGCAAAGCTCGTTTCAAAACATAGGATCGAGCAATAAAAGAATGCGATGCACATGAATCAAATAAAACATGCGCATAATCAGAGTTAACAGACAAGGTACCCATGATTACGTCGGTAGCCGCAGCTTCCTTGTGAGTCATCACTTGCACTCTCACCTGCTGGGCTCTTGTCCGAACCCCAGTACTCTGTTTCTGCGCCCCCTGACTGGTAGAACTTTGCGGAGAGGTAGGCTGAGTACTTTGGGCCTTGGGGTCCAGCAGTGGACAATTTGCAATCCGGTGTCCCTGCTTGCCACATTTGAAGCAAGCCTTAGTAGCAGTGTGGCATTGATCCCGGGTGTGCCCGACCTTCCCACAAGCACGACAAACAAGCTGAGTGGGACGAGCACACTGGGCCGATGATGCCTGACTCACTGTCCTGGTGGCTCCTGACCATCTAGAGCCCTTGCTGATCTCAGACCTAGGCGGTGCAAGGAAAAAGGGTCGACGGCTCCCCTCAAATTTCCTCTTCCCAAGGGTTGACCCACCACTAGGCTGCCCTGAGGGCTTGACTCTAGCCATAGCCTTCTCCTGATCTATGGCTCTGTCCGTAGCCTCTTGATAAGTGGCGGGTTTAAATTGGTTTACCGCCAAGTAAATGTCAGAATTCAAGCCCCACAGAAACTTGTCGGCCTTGGCTTGCTCATCGCCGACTTGGCCACCCACAAAAGGCAAATAGCGGTCAAATTTCTCCTTGTACTGCTCAACAGTACCTGACCCTTGCTTTAAATCTGCAAATTCTCTTTGCAGTTCTGGTCTTTTGCTGTCCGGTATGTACTCCCGCATGAACACCTTCTTAAAACCATCCCAGGTGCTCAATTCAGGCTCTCCTTGGTGCAGCTTCCGATAACTCTCCCACCAAGTTAATGCCTTCCTAGTAAGCATGTAGGTGCCTACATTGACCTTAAGGTCATCAGAAACATGCAGCAGGTAGAATCCCCGCTCCACCTCAGAAATCCATGATTCCACCTGCTCAAAACCTGAAGTACCATCGAATCCCTTGTTCTTCATCAACTTCTGGAATTCGGTATAAATCTTCCAGGTAGGTACAGCAGGAGCAGAAGAGATAGGAACAGGGGAAACCGGAGCAGGGGCCGCAAGAGTGGAGACCACCGGGGATGGAGGTGGTACACTTGTGGCAGGAGATACTTGGCGTCTTATCTCTGCCATAAGTTCCCGAGCAAAGCTGGCCACTTGAGGATTGCTCGTCCCTCCTTCCTGCGGAGCAGCTTGGGTAGGGGGACTAGCTTCTGGGATCGGAGGAGCGCCCTGATCCTTATGGCTACCCCTCGGGGGACGCCCACGCCGTTTTGGAGCCATCTATAACCACAAAAGGGTTCATAGATTATTAATCAAATGCTCCCACGAGAAAATTCCCGGCAAGTTTCCACTTCCGGGACAAGCAACCCAAAAAAATATCAAAACAAGGGAAGCCAACACACATTAAAGAGAGAATCAAACAAACGCCTTTAATCAACCCCACTCTCATGCCTCACCACGTTCCTATCATTCCTTAGCTAGCCAAGTTCTAAACTAGTTCTAGGCACTTAATTTAAACCTAGGCTCTGATACCACAAAATCTGTCACGCCCCAGACCGAGAGCGAAACAGACGCCGTGCACTCGGGAACGGGTCCCACAGTGCACAAGGCTCGAAACCTACTAAGTTCATGCTACTAATTCAGATAATTCAGGTCATATCTAATTTCATTTTCTTTCTACACATTTACCTGTCAAAGTGTA